AGCATTTATTATTATCTGACTTTTTCATTCTAGCCCCCTTTTGGGTGTTAAGTGGTATCTCACTCTTGTTTCTACTTGCATTTCCCTAATGGTTAGTGAGGTTGAGCATTAACCATTTGCATTATCTTCCTTGGAAAAATGTCTATTCAGATCCTTTGCCCAGTTTAAAGTTAGGTTGTCTTTTTATTGAGCTATGAGTTCTTTAATATTTTAAATACAAGTCCCTTATAAGATATTTTAATTATAGGTATTTTCTCCCATTGTGTGGGTTATCTTTTCACTCTTTTTAATATAGGCAAATTATAGCTATTAATTTCTCTCTGATCACTACTTTCACTCCGTAAGTTTTGGTAGGTTGTGTTTTAATATTTGGGGTACGTTGTATGTTCGTTTTCATTCATCTCAAAGTATTTTCCCTCATATGTGATGAGTCACTTCTGTCTTGCTTTCAAAATTCTCCCTTTGTCTTCTGAGAGTTTATGTGTCTAGGTATGGATCTCTGAGTTTATCCTACTGGGATTCTGTTGAGCTTTTTGATGTCATCAAATATGGAAAGTTTTGAGCCATTATTTCTTCAAATATTCTGCCCTTTCTCTTCTCTGTGTATATTGCATGGTGGTATCTCATAGGTCTCTGAGCCTCTGTTAATTTTTCTTCATTCTTCTTTACATTCCTTAGATAGTTAATGTCAACAGACCTGTCTTCAGGTTTGCTTATTTTTTCTGCCTGGTCATGTGTGCTGAGCCCCTCTAGTGAAATTTTATCTGTTATTATACTTTTCAACTCTAGAATTTCTATTTGGTTCCTTTCTGTAATTTCTTTCTCTTTACTGATACTATTTGGTGAGAATATATCTATCATTCTATTCTTTCCTCTAGTTCTCTCCACATGGTTTCCTTTAGCTCTTTGAACATATTCTAAATAGCTGATTTAAAATCTGGTACTAGGGTAAGTTAAAAACAGTGCAAAGCTTGCTGTTCTTACCAAAAGTCTACTGTCCTTGACTGAACACTCTCTGGGTTATTGCAAGCCTTTGGTTAATTTCCAGAGTTCTGTGAAAGTTGATTCTGATAATATATGGTAGGATCTTCATCGCTTTTATAGAGAGAGCAAACTTTTGGTAGTTCTTACTGGACCATTTTTGTTGACCCTTTGCTTGGATTTTGATTCAAATAAACTATGGAAAAAATGTTTTGAAACAACGGGCAAAATGAACACAGACTGGTTATAAGATTAAAATTTTTATTTTGTTGGATAGGAAAATTGTACTAAGGTCATACATACTTTTAAAGACCTTATCTGTTAGAGCTACACAGTGGTGTTTAGACTTGTCTTTTATTTGCTTTCAAATACTTGCACATGTTGATGGTTGTTAGAGCTGGGTGATGGGTACATGGAGGTTCACTCACCATTTTATTTTTGTATTTGAAAATTTCTACGATAAAAGTTTTTTAAAAGGGAAAGTGTACCCTTGGGTCCAAACAAGGCTGCCTTAAACGGGGGGAAAAAATAACTGAGTCCCTAACTGACCTTGGGCAATAGGGAGTAAAACAATGTCTTGGAAGATAGGTAGGGTGTGTGTTAGGAGAATAAAGGTTAAAGAGAATAAATCAGGTACCCTCAGAATAGAAGGACAAGTTATACAGTAAGTAAAAACATGTAACTATCTCTGGGTCTGGAAAGGAAAGGAATTGACTGGTCAAATCCAAGCTGGTCCTTGGCCCCAACTCCTAAGTCTATTGGTCTCAACCACTGTACTCCAGCATATCCCAGGGTGGTGGAGATTTCTTTCCTGGGGCTGGCAAAAGAAGTGTTCCCACCTAAGACCATTCCATTGGGCTTGAACAGCACTATGACCAAGACCCAAAGCTGGAGCTGTGTACAGGGTGACAGGCCTCAAGGGGCAGAGGCTTGGGATGAGGTAGGATTCTGTCCTCCTGAGTGACCCCCAGGCTCAAGAGATCAACTGGGAGGGGGAGGGTATAGCTCAAGGGTAGAGCACATGTTTAGCATGCACGAGGTCCTGGGTTCAATCCCTAGTACCTCTTCTAGAAATAAATAAATAAACCGAATTACCTCCCCCCACCGAAAAAAAATCAACCGGGGAAAGGGAGCATTCTCTGATAACCCTAGACTCAATCAGTGAAGCTCCAGTAACCTTCAATGAAAGGTGCACTTGTGAGTTCTTTATACTATACTCTAAATATTTAAGGACCTCAAATCCCAAAGGGGGGAACATGGGAGATCCACCCAGAAGAGTTCCCACAGGGCAGGATGGTGCGAGGCCTGGAGCACTGGGTGCTCCCACATTCAAAGCACAAGGAGAACCTACCTGTCCTGCTCTGCTGCCAGCTTTCCAAAGAGGAATGAGAGCCACCAGGGAAGACAGGGGCCCTGAGGCCTTAGAGGACTTGGACAATAGGAACCAAAGGAAGGCAGTCAAGAACCTGCCATCGTTTTACTTTGATACCCCTTTCCCTAGGAGAAGGAGCAGGAAATATATTTAAAAACACAAAGAGCCCCTAGACCTTTCTTTGGACACAGCTGAGCGATTTGAATCTCCTCTACAGCCAGGTTAGGAGAAGAGAAACTGGGGGACCTGGGGGGCCCTGGTGGGCAGAGGACAAGTTGTACAGGCCCTGTAGGAGAAAGGCAGAGTTGACTGCCCTCACCTGCACCCAACCCTGAGTGCCACTCAACGGAAATGCGGAGATGAGCTGAAAGGTGCCAAAGACAGTAAGACAAAGTTCCTTAGTAGATGAGGGCCTTTCGCTGTAAAGCAGAGGGGCTGGTAAGTGGGGTTAGTGGCTGACAGACCCTGTAACATCTGAAAGTGGGGAAGAGGGCCTGGGAACATCACTGCTTTGACTCACTGTGTCATCACCACCACCACTGTGCTGAGCAGAGAGAGATGACTGTGGTGTGAGGCAAGTCTGGCATGGCTAGACATACAATCTGTAGGTCACTGTGGAATAAGGGGCCAGAAGATGTCAGTCATCTTCCATGTGAGGCGAAATCTGAAACCAGCACCTTATGTAGTGCCACCCAGAGTCCCTACCTGAAGATGCCCATGGCCCCAGATCCATATTACAACTACTAGACCAAAGAACAGCTTTATTGGTGACCCAAGGAAACCAACGTCGCGCCCAGACAGTGTCAGCCTGCAAGGCCTTCTCCGGGCAGGAAAGTCAATCACACAGTTCATAGGAGTTCCTGACAAAAGGTCAGAGCTCCTCGCCTAATTATAAGAAAAATTCCCAATCCTGATTCCAAAGTCAACAAAAAGAAGGTCAGAGGCTAGAGTCCTGATGGGTATTAATGCCCCTGCCTGTGGGGGCTCAGGAGGCTGGCTGAGTTGTTCAGCAACATTTGGGGCTGTGCATCTGGGGTGAGGTAGAGAGTCAGAAAGCCTACAGGAAACTTACCCAAGACAAGTTTCCAAGAGAGTTCATGCACGGGCAGGGCACAGAACCTAGCCCTGGGATTGCACTTTGGGTCTGATGGGGTCAGGTCACCGAGCAGGCCTGGGTAGCAGAGAACCCCACCTCCTGGCCCTCAGCACGTGGAACCACCATGGTCTGGGCTCAGTGGTGCTGCCACAGCCTATCATATGTGCCAGCTCCTCATGGCTGGGGCATCCCAAGCTTCCTGACAGGATACAGGTACCACATCACCACCCCCGAAGGGTTGATGATCACTGTGAAGTTGGTTGTGTCCTGGAGGCCACTGATGACATCACCCGTGTAGACATTCTGGGCCTGCAGGGGGAAGGACATCACTAATGCTACACCAAGAATAGCTGTGCAGAGACCTCCCCGCAGAGGATGGAAAAGCCTGGCCTGTCTGTGATGGGCTGCAGTATGCCCCACAGAAGGTGGCACCTGAATCCACATACTTCTCCTCTGGCAAAGCCAACAGATGCCCGAACACAGGCAGTGGTGAGGGCCCAGCCCACCGAGAACCTGAGAAATGTGCCAGCAAGAACTGAGAGGGGAAGCACACAGCCTCAGGGGCTGACAGGGCTCATTTACACACAGCAGTTCATTTGTGTAGCTTGAAAACAGCAGTGTAGAGAACAGCACCAGCCAGAGGACCCAAGGCCCACGGCTTAGGGGAGGAAGTGTGAGTGCAAGGCCCCTGTGTGAGGGAGAACCCAGCAACACCCTCCAGGGAAACCCACAGCTCTGCAAGTAGCCAGGCACTTACCTCATACGTGTTGGCGCTGGTGAAGTTCAGCCGGGCGAGGGAGGAGTGGTAGTGATAAGGCATGTCCGTCCTGCGGCTGAAGAAGACTAAGGCACTGGCCTCGTTGGCTAGAGGCCGCATGAACACTTCAATGTGGGATTTCTCCTGGTTACAGAATATGGCTACTGGCTGGGGTCCCTGCTCAACAGGCCCTGAGCCCCCTTCCCAACCCTTCCTAGAGCTCTGGGACCCCCAGCCCACAGTTCTGTGTCATGCAGAAGCTTGGAGGGGATACCACAGCCCTCCAGTGCCTCACCTTACCTAACTCTACCTTCCTTCCCTGACTCAGCAGATGCTCCCTGACATGTACTCTGTGCCAGGCCCATGCTAGGACAGAGACAAATGCTGCATGAGGTCCAGCCTCAGAGAGCTCACAGATGTGGACAACTGCTGGCACTGGAGTGGAGGGCACCATCCAGCAGGAATGATGAGCTCTGCCCCGATCATCCAGGAGGGTGAACCCCCATCCTCTGGAAGGTCCCTGGGTCTGGCTCCACCCTCAGCTCCTCTGGCAGAGGTTAGTTATCACCTCTGGGCATCACCAGTTCAACAGGGCCTTCTATAGTGGTGTCGATTGCTTTTTACTAGAGAGGCAAGGATCTGTGCAAAGAGCACAAGCTTTGGGGCCACCCTGCTGGCGTCTAGTTCTGTTGCACCGCTAACCAGCTGTGTGGCCTTGGACTAAAGTTACTGAGACTCTTCCAAGTCTAAGTTTCCTCATTTGTAAAATAGGGAAGGAGCATCTGCCTTCTGAGAAAATGTATCTAGAATGCCCAGCACACAGTAGGTATTCAGTAAAGAGTAAACACTAGAACTAGTAATAGTTGTAAACTCTTAAACTCTGGAAGGAAGCCCTAGTTCTTTGCCAGACATTACAGACTTGTGCAGAAGTCTCGTACTTCTAAACCTAAGGGCCACACTGTTCACTGTTCCTGGGTGCACTTGTGATATTTCCCTTCCCCAAACCCCATTCCTGCTTTGGCCCTGCTCTTACCCAAGCAAGTGGGGGACGGTTGGAGTAGCTCTTGGTAGAGTCTTTGACTGAATGCAACCAGGAGGAACTGAGCAGATTTCAGAGGCCCAGACCCCCACTTCTTAACCTCCAGGCTTGCAGCCTTGTTTTAAGGGGTGCCTAGCCCCTCAGCCTGCCCTCCCCTCCCCCCATACCCCAGTACCTTGAGAATCCTGCGTCCCTGGATGCCTAAGGGATCCTGGTTGATTTTGATCATGAGTGGATTCTGCAGAATGTCCATGTTCTGAGCGGAGATGGTACGCAGGTCTGTGGACATGAAGAGGGGGGCCGCCAGCACCGTCCACAGGGCCATCTGGGCCCGGGCCTGCTCGAAGCTGAGGCCAAAGTTCCCAATGAGCAGCTAGGAGCAGAAGAGAGGAGTGTTCAGCTCTGCCCTCTTCAGGGCAGTGGGCATGGGGACCAACCCTGAACTTGTCACAGGAGAAGACTGAGAAGGGGAAGACAGCCACGTGTGAGACCTGGTTCTGCAAACACCATTCCCCAGCAGGGAGGCCTTAGGGTGGGTCAACTCACTTTTCATCTGAGCCTCAGCTTGATATTGCACCAAGAATATGGGGAGATATTATGCTCTGACCATATCACAGGTTGTTCAGAGGATCTGATGGATCCTGTTGCCAAAAGCATTTATAAACTGGAACATGCAAGTCAAGAATACAGCCAGGGTGTTAGGAAACCAGACCTGGACAGAGTCTCTCCTCCTACCACTAGCCACCCACCTGCCCTAACCACACAGTGGACCAGTGGGAACCCCTGACCCCAGGGCAACCAATCCACCAACAGGACACAAATGATTATTGCTAATACAACATGGTTGCATACTTAGTGACACCAATTAAGCACTGTATATGTACCAAGCTGTGCCAAACATTTAAAGGGTCATCCTTTTAACATTTAAAATAATATTATATACATTTTCCAATTGACAAAGCTGAGGCACCAAAAAAATTAAGTGCCCAAGGTATGCAGCAGAGCTGGAACTAGAACTTAAAAGCAGGTGAATTTCTGTTTCTCCAAGCGCATCTCCATCTGGCCTAGTATTTGTAATTATTATAATCATCACTGACAGTAAATGCCTGTCAATTAAATGACGAGACAGCTATAAAACTGTAAGATAAATTGTAAAGAAGTGTAAGTCATCAGGGCCATGAGTAAGGTAGGTATGAGGGACCAGTTCTGGAGGCTGTGCGGGAGGGTAACAGTACAGAGCATTGAAAGAGGGGTCAGAGGCAGCCCTGGCAGAGACAGTCTCAGGAGGGAATGGCAAGAGAGTGTGGACTGTTCATAACCTTCACTCTTGAGAGGAATAATGTCTCACACAACAGTCACTACAGATCGAGTTCTCAAGCTTCAAGAAACAGAACTGCCTGGGAAGATTGTTAACAATGGGCATTCCCAGGCCCTCCCTGAACATTCTGATCCAAAAGGTGGGGGTGGGGCCCTGGGAACAGAATTGTAAGCAAGCTCCCAAGGCAAGTCGAACATGGATGGTTCAAGGACACATTTCAGAGAAACTGATCTAGAACCTGATTTAGAGCATTCAGGAAGACAGCACAGGGCAGTGGGCAGTGAGTGGGCCGGACGCAGGGGACCTTGGGCCATCCCCCTCCATGCTGGTACCATGTCTGGGTCATTCCAGTGTCCAGGGCCTGCCACTGGCTGCAGAATGTCCTGGTGTTTCACAAACCAGTCCAGGATGGAGAGCACACTCCTCCAGGAGTCCTGGATGTCGTTATAGTTGCGCCAGAGGTTGCAGGTGTTTGCCAGCAGACTGTAGTTCACCTGCATGTCAGGGGAAGGCCGAGTCCAGCAACGGAGTCACACTCCACTGCCTGGAGGCCTGCACACAGGCTGGGGAGCCTCAGCAGGAGACACACAGGGTGGGGAAGGGAGAAGAGAGCAGGTCCTGGGCATGTTCAGAGAGAGCAGCCCTGCTTGGGGGCTGTCCAGGCCTCCCCTCCATGAGTGCTGGTGCCAAGCCCAGGGTACGGACCCAGGCTGGCGTATCCATAACTTTCCCCACCACACACCCACCCTTGTGTTCTCTCAGTGAGAGTCCCACCCTCTACCAGCATTCTCCATCTGGTCTGAAGGTCTGATTCCACCCTGTCTAGCATCTTACATGCTAAGAGGCCCCTGGTGAAGTGCCCACAAGGCCTTTCAGAGGCTAGGCCCCACCTTCCTGGCCTCACCAGCCTTCTGGATCTCCTAGCCCACTGAGTACAACCCAGGGTTCTGACTGCTTGCCGCGTGCTATGTCAGCACACAACATGTGCTTCCCATACCTTGGAAACCCATCACTTCAGCCCACCCGACAAGTGTCTCTAAGACCCTGGGCTGGCTCAGTCCCCCTCTAGGGTCCTTATGACCCCCTCCTAGACCTATAGATCAGCATGTGGACAACTATGATGATAGCATCACTGAATGCACAGAAGGCAAGGAGGCCTGGGTACGGGAGCACTGCTGGGTGGGTGCAATGGCTTACCTTGGGGGGGAGGCCCCCTTCGTAGGCTGGCCAACTGCAAGAGAAGGCGATGGGGCGGCCTGTGGCATTCAGGGCAGCAGCCATCTTGGGGTACCCTGGAGAAGTCCAATCCCCGTGTTTTAGGACAGAGACAAAAGACAAAATCTGGGGCCTCAACCCAAACCTCCCACCAGACATGAGAAACTAAGGCTCAAACAAGGAGGTACTTCCCTTGTACCCAGAGCTGCAAACACTTCCCAGGTGATGCATGGTGCCGACCCATCTTTAGGGAGCCTGGGAGCCAAGATCCCAGGGAAACTGGGAAATGCTATCCCCTAGGGGCCATACAGACAGACACACTCAGCCACATGGGCACTGGTGGGCCTTCCAGGGCCACCCTTCCCTGTCTACCCGACGGCCCCCAGCCAGCTGTGGGACCCACCCTTGGCCCGTTCCTCAGGGGTCGAGAAGCAGCCATCCAGCTTCAGCATGTCCACCTTCCACTCAGCGAAGGTTTGAGCATCCTGGATCACCTTGTCTAGTGTGGTGCCTGGGTAACCCATGCAGGTGAAGCTGCCCATGTCCTCGTAGATGCCCAGCTTCAGGCCCAGGGAGTGAACCTGTGAGGGGTTGAGAACATAGTGGGCTCAGGCAGAACCCTCAGGGAACCGCCTCACAGGCACATCTGACCATTAAAACCTTCAATGGCTCCCCAAAGCCCAAAGGAAAGGGTCTTAGCTTGCTGACCTGGCCTCTGCCAACTACGGTGTTTCCCCTCCCTCCAACACACACACCTTGCATGAGCTGTTTCTGGCCTCTAGGCATTTGCTTATGCCATCCCCTCTGCCTTGAATGCTGTCCCTCTGGTATCAGCTCAAGAATTGTTTCCTCCAGAGAACCTTCCTGAAATCCCACACTGGGCAAGATGTTCTTCTTTGTCTCACCCACCACAGTGGACCAAAACTAGCTGTTGATTTATCTATTTCCTCCACCAGTGAGTTCTCAAGCAAGGATTCTAGAAACTAAATGGGGTGGGGTGGAAAGAGTTGTCTGGCCCTCAGTCCAGAAGGGAGGGCTGGGGTGGGGCTCACATAGTCAGCCAGGAAGGCAATGCCGTTGGGGAAGCGCTTGGGATCAGGCACTAGGTTGCCTTTGGCATCACGTCCACCAATCCAGCAGTCATCGATGTTAAGGTACACGTAGCCCAGGTCCCGCCATCCATCCTGTGCCAGCCGGTCAGCCATCTCCATGAAGAGCCACTCACTGGCAAGGGGCAGGGGATGGGGCAGCTCAGTGGCCCAGCATGGGCCAAACCCTAACCCCGCCCCTCTTCCTCAGAGCTCTTCTGACTTCTTAGATGCTCTGAGTGTGAATCAGGCTATGAGTACCATGGCCTAGCTGTCAGCTGAAGACTAAGCCAAATAAGAAGTGTAAAGGACACCAAGGATTATACCGGGCCATAAGCAGGGTGGAGAAAAAGGAGTGGTCTGGCCCCCGGGCCAAGAACCAGGGGAAACACGTGTGGCCCTTAACAGTTATCTCCTTCCCATTATCTAAGAGGTCTTCTGCAAGGTCTCTGCCCCCAGGCCTGAGGTCCCCACAGGGGCCCCAAGCTGGTCACGAGGCCAAGTGTCAGATGTCACCCAAGTCACCTGTGGTTGCTTTCTCTCTGGGATCGGGGGCTGTAACCCTACCCTCTTTTCTAGCTGACCCTCCACTCCCTGTTGCCACTCTGGGGGGCCTCTAGACAAGGTTTGTCAGGTGGTGCAGGCCTTACTCACCTGATGCAGTTCTTTGGGTCCTCGTTACAGTCAATGTTGCAGCGGAAGCGTTCCCAGGCCAGCCAGCCCATGGGTGGCGTCCGCAGGAGCCCATTGTCCAGCATCAGCACCTGGGCCACCAAGGCCAGCAAGAGCACTGCAGGGGGGTTGGAAGGATGACTATGAGTGGCCCCTATAGCCCCAGCCCTCACCCCGCCGCATCCACATGCTGCCCAGCCCTGCAGAGGCTGCTGGCCGGCACATTAGGCGAACTAGACTCCTGAGCTTAAGGTGGAATAGGCACTTCCTGCAACTGCTGGCTCCTGCAGCACAGTGAATGGATGGTGCCTGGGGTACGGCAGTGTGTTTGAGGCCTGGGTCCCCACTTGTTGTTGCCAAAGTAGTGCTGGAATTATCAAAAATTTAACACCTGAGGTCATATTCTTTTTACACCCTGACCAGCTCCTCCCACTCCTTTCACGCAGAACTTGACAGTACACTATAGCTAGACTCCAGGTCTCCTGAGTCCCATCCAAGGCTCTTTGCTCTCCACAGACACCCAAGAGGCTTCAGAAGGGCTTAAGAGGTCAGCCAGGTTGGATCTGCACCCAGCAGCTCACTTTCCCTAAAGGGAAAGGACTCAGTTTCCTTACCTGTAAGATGGAAAGAACTACTGTAATTTACAGGGCTGGTCTCAGTACATGCTGATGTTACATGCGATAGGGCCTCTGTGCTTTGGGTGACAGAGGGCGAGAAATGAAGAGGCCTCTTTGGAGGGGAACTGATACCTAGGTGGGGAACATCTCCTTCTCTTTTCCTGGCCTACTTCCAAGAATAAGAGGAACATGTCTCCCCACATACCCACATCAGGGAAGGCAACCCAGACACCACTGGGCTGGAACTTCCTCCAGGTAGCCTCCATCTGCAACTGGTCACCTACCCACCCAGAGACATCCCCACCAGTGTAGATACCTGTCTTCAGCAACATTGCTCTGGACTCAGCGTCTCAGGACCTGACCAGATCTGCTCTGCTTTTACCAGCTTTGTATGTTGGGCTTTGGAAGCTAAGAAACATTAGAAAAGCACTGAGGTCACTATTGCCTGGCTAGCCCTGCCGCCCTTAACCTTGGGTGTAGATCCCACATTGGGTCCTCAAGCCGCCCTCACAGCCCCTACCCCCTCCTCCGGCCATCACTTCCGCGAGCCTGGTTTCTTTCTTCATAAATACTGAACAAGATGTCTTGGACGTTAGACCTCACCCCCTCTCCAGTGATTGGAACTCCAAGCGCCCAAGGGCGGCCCTCTGCCAGGTCGGGGCCAGAGAAAGGGAACAACAGGCTCGAGGACACCCGGGAAGAACGGAGGCGTCGGGCCGGGACCAGGCTCCGGACTCCCACTCGGTCTGTGTTGTCGTCCCCCGCCCCCAAGGACCGCAGACCCAGCGCTTTAGCATGGGGACCCCCTCCCCGTTCCTCGCAGAGGCCACAACCCACGGCACTTACCCCTTCCGCCCGCTTCTGCCTCCAGAGGCGACTACGGCGGCAGTCACCTGACTTGCTTACAGCGTTCCAGAGGGGCGGGGCCTGACGGCAGCAAACCAGCGAAACCTATCAGAATCCCCTAGCAACGTCGTGCCTCGCCCTCTATGGTCCCAGTAAGCCCTCCGAACCTCCCAAGGCCCCGCCTCCTTTGAGCATCAGCTCTGCGCTCTCCCAAGGCAGGCATGAGCAAGGTTCCCTCTGAGGCTAGTCCTTTCATTTCTGCGGGGCCCCTGAAGGCAAGGATAGTGCACTGTAGATGCTCAATAAATCGCTGAATACCTGCTGCAGGCTTTGTTAAGAAAAATAAGAGAATGTGCTGAAGCATGGCCCTTAGCAAGCGGCTCAGAAACAGTATGATGAATAGGCACTAGGAGGAGGATGGGTGGGGAAAGCAAACCAGGTGGGGACACAGCTGTTGAAAAGCCGGGAGCCTCTCCTTTCCTGCCTGACACTTGGGGCACCGATTATGCTTATCTAGCTACTCTAATATTCCTTCCTCTTTCATTCATCAAATATTTATTAAGCAACTATTAGATACCAAACACTTTATTCCTGGCACCTTCACTTGGCTAGACACTGGGCATCTCGAATATTACTGGCCCCAACCCGACCACCTGCCACTTCCATAAGGTAATGGCAGATCTCCTTCCAGGTGCTCAAGCCAAAACCCTGGAGTCCTCCTTTCCTTTTCCTTCCCTCACTCCCTACATCCAATCTCTCTACAAAAGCTGCCTTCTTTGCCTTCAAAACCCATCCTGAATTTGGTCACCTCTCTCTATTCTCCCAGCCCACATCACATCTTGCCTGGATTACTCCAGCAGCCTCCTCACTGGTCCTCACTAGGCTTCCACCTACATTTTTTTCTCTCCTTAGCAGCCAGAGTAATCCTTTTTTAAAGGATGTTTTACATAGGTCAAAACCTCCACTAAAGATTCTGTGATGGCTGTTCATTTCAGTCCGGAGTAACAGCCCTCACAGATTTACAAAGCCCCACCCCACACATTCTGACCCCATTCCTACTGCTCTCCCCTGCTCACAGCCTCTGTGCTACACTGTGCTACACTAGTCTGCCTGCAGCTCCTCAAACACAGCAAGCCTCAGGACCACTGCTCCCTCTGCCTGGAATGCTCTTCCTCCAGATTTTGGCAAGAGTAGTTCCCTCATTTGCTTCAAGTATTTCTCAAATGTCATCTTACCAGTGTGGCCTATCCTTACCATTCTGTTTAAAATTGCCACCTCCCGACTCCTCCAATTCCGAATCTCCTTGTCCCTGGTCTATATTTTTCATAGAACTTACTGCCTTCTAACACATTTATTATGGTTTCTATTATTAACTTAATAAAATTTAGTGGAGGAGACACGTAATAAACAGGAAATAAAAACATAAGTGTAGGAAAGTTTTTAAATAAGTGGTTAGTGCTATAATGAAAATACAACCCAGGGATGTGATAGAGACCTGCGGGTACGCTCCTTTACATCTCATGGTCAGGGAGGGGACATCTGAGCTGAGATCTAAGTGATGTGAAGGAGTCCTGAGGCGTTAGAGCCAGGGAGTAGAGTTGAGGAGGAAGAGCATTCTAGGCTGCAGAAACTGCAAAGGCCAAAACTTTGAGGTGGGAAACGGCAAGTTCATGGGCAGACGGTCTCAGCTCACCCGCTTCCAGGGCTATCCTCCGTTTGGTTGTGCCCTTCTGCAGCCTTCACCACAGACATAACTACGGACCGACTCTCCGCAGAGCCTGGGCGCCGAAGCTGCGTTGCAGGTGGGCGGGAGTGGCGGAAGCAGAAACGGATAATCCCCAGAAGCCGAGATCCCACCGACTCCAGGGGCCAGGCTGGGTGGCTGGGAAGCTGGGCTGAGCCTCGCAGACTGGATTGGGCCCGCCCAGGCTGGGCTGAGGCCTTCCCAAACTTGGCTCTGCGGGAGAACTGGGCCGGGCGGGGAGAGGGGGATTGGAGGCGGGGAGAGAAGGTCTCCGAGTTTTCTGGGAGGGGGGCTGGGGCCGAGGCCCCCGGACTGCCTGAGGTGGGACTCTGAGTTAGAGGCCTCCTGCCACTGACCAACAGTGTGGCTCGGGCAGGTCACGGCCTATAGACCTCAGTTTCCCTCCCGCGTGGCTCAAAGGGCGGCTTCGCGGATCGCGAGGCCTAGTGAGTCGTGGGCGGGGAAGGGCGGGGGCGGTAACTCCAGCCG